AGAGGTTGCCAGGCAGTTGGTAGCGCAGCTCGGCAACAGTTCCAACTCGACCGGTATTCTGGGCAGCCTCCTCACCCAGTCTGACCTGGCGACCACGCAGACTCTGGCCTTGGATAGCGTGACAATTTCCAGCCGGAGCCGCAACATCACTGTGCTGAGTGAGAATGCTACGGTGGAGGTTCCTGCAGGGGTCGTTGCCCAGGCTGCCAGTGCAACTAGCCTTGGAAGTGGCCTGGTGCTGTTAAGCATCTCGGTTGGCTCCTCAGAGCTACGTGGCGGGTTCGATGGCGCCAGCGGGGCAGCCGAGGGCGGAAGCGTGGCTGGGGATGGGCCGAGTTTGGTCTCCCGGCCTGTCAGCATCGCTTTCCGCAAGCCCGATGGACAGAGGATCCCGATGCCATCGTTGGTGCAGCCCATCGAAATTAGGCTACCCGGGGCCAACGAAGAGGCGCAGTGTGCCTTCTGGGACGAGGAGACAGCCGCCTGGTCGTCAACAGGCTTGCTTCGGCTCGCCTACAAAGACGGTGAGCTCATCTGCCAGACGTCCCACCTCACTGTCTTTGGGGCAGTGCTCGATGTCCTGCTCCGGGTGATCCGGTGCTCCACCGCCTCGCAGGTCCTGTCTGCGGAGGGCTTCGCCAATTTCGGCAAAGGCACGTGGACTGGCCGGTCGCCGACCGTCATTGCCTTCATCGCTGTCTTCGTTTTCGTCCTGTTGTTGTTGTATGCCCTACGCCTTGATGCAAAGCGAGCGCTCTCAAGGGAGGAGGTGGAGGCAGCTTTGCTCGTTGAGCTCGAGGAGGACACTCCTCATGAGTTCGACAACAGTGACGAACAGGAACCAGAAGTGAAGAAGGTGAAACGCCCGAACATTTGCCGTCAGGCAGGGGCATGGATGCTCTCCCAGTTCATGTGGTTCCTGAGCCAGATCTTCGAAATGCCAGATGCCGACGTGTTAACAGAGCTGATGAATGCCAAAGTGGTTACGATCAATCGTTGCATCAGCTCGATCTATGCCTACAAGAGTCATGCCGATCGACAAAGTATCCGAGCATCAGAGACAGCAGTTGGTCATGCGCACATGCGACACTCCAACACAGCCGGCCTGTCGGTGACAGTTGTGGACTTTGTTCGCATGGACGTGGCAACAACCCCCACAGAAAGACGCAAAGCGTCTGCTGCGAAGGAGTTCCTAAAAAGTTACTGGTGCAAGCGCGTGGTCCTGCTGATGCGGGCTATGCATCCCTGGATCACCATGCAGTATGTCAGCTTGTTTAGGTCCCATGTGGTCCGTGCCTCACTGATCATTCTGAAGTTGGTGTCCGCGGGGGCAGCCAACGCACTTTTTTTCACGGCCTCCGCGGTTTCCGCTGATTCAGAGACAGACTGCGGGCCTCCGGAAACCTTTGGAGAACGCTTGCTTCGCGCTGGCGTTGTGGGCATACTCTCCGCTTGCATGGGGGACCTGCTGATTCTGCTGCTGGCTGCCGTCCAGCGGCGCCAGGTCATAATCCGGCACTGGACCGAGGAGGCAAAGAAGCGACAGCTGCGGAGCTGGCGTTGGCGGCGCCGTTTCTTTTGGTTGATCTGGTTTGTGGACATGGGCATGTCGATTCTGTACATATTTGGCTTCATGGCAAACGTGAGTGAAACGGATGGTTCGAAGTGGCTGGAAAGCACGGGGATGAGTCTGCTACAAGACCTTCTACTGAAGCCCCTCTACATGGCTCTTCTCTACGGAACTGTCGCAACTATGGTTCTGTGTTGTAGCCCGAGTGTGGGGAACGAGATCGTGGGTCAGTGGATGCAGCGAGACGAGGAGGACGCTAGCAGAGCCGACGTCCAAGCGAGGCCGGAGTCTCATTCTCTCCGGCCGTTGTGTGAGTGTGATGCGGACGGCGAGATTCATGAAGTTTATATCGATACTCTCTGAAGTAATCCAGAGTTTACCGGCAGTAGCGGCGGTCTGTCCGGCCAGAATTCATAGGTTTTGGATAGTTTTGGAATTTTTGAGTCTGTGTTGTTGTGGTGCTTGAAGTCTCCGCAGCACTTGTCCGTAGCGACTCCATTTAGTCGTGTCTTCATATAAGAAGTTGAGAGACTTGATTTGCATATCAGCCTGCACCTGCAGCAGCCAATCGGGAATTGGCGGAACCGAAGAGCCAGGATTTTAAGGCCTCGAATATTGTCTAGCCAGAACGGGTTGCAAAGCAAGCCGTACAAAAGTGGGACCTCTTTCCATCAGCGGTATCGAAAAGACGATATAAGCCCTGCTTCCTCGCGCAAGGAGCTTTGACATCGCCTGGTTTTGTCCATGTTCTGAGATGCAGTTTTGTTCCAGTCTTTTCCTTCGGTCCAAGCGTGATAGGGGAAATGCTCCGGACATGGAATCCGGTCTGAATAAATATTTAACTGAACTAGCCGGTGGTCTGCACATCCGGAGAACAAAAAAGACTTCGGCCTGCATTTTTCCAGCATGAGTATCAACGTCCTAAAATCCCCAACCCAGATACCCCGCCCGGATTGTCCAGGTTGAGTCAGTCGAACTCGCATTCGCAGGTGGCCGTTGGGAGGTGCTGCCACAGGCCGTCTCTGACGTGAAGTTGATCTTCGGCCGTGGTGGTCTGGTTCAAGGCCCGCCCAGCGGATGAAGCGAGACATGGAATTGCTTTGCATGCTGTTTGGGTCCTTACTGGCCGCCCCACAGTTCACGCTTTGTCTTGGGCTAGTTTTCTTGCGAATTTCTGGGTTCGCAAGTCCGGATCTTGTGTGTCCTTATGTTTCCAGTTGTTACTATTGCCTTTCTGTTTGATGTACCTCTCCGAACTACACACATTGCCCTCCACTCGGCAATGTTCTGCTCACTCATTGTCCCCTTCCCTCTCTTCATATCTGTTTGTCTTCCCATGCACTGACAAGAAAATCAGATGCGGTGATGCACCTTTCCCGACCCTGGGGGCTCACAGTGCCCGGTTATCTCTCATGTCCAGTTGTCTCGCATGACAATCCGGAAGCCTGTTGCTGCCACACGAATTGTCAATGGGGCTGGGTGGCCCAAACTTTGTGGCGGACATAGCACCAAACTCTCACGTTTTGGTGGACTTGAGGTGAAGAAAGTCCATTGCTTCCAAAAAGGCAGTTTTCACACGGCTCCCATGGCGTGGTTCGAAGGCAGCAGGCGTAGCTTGCAGGTTCATGCTTCTGAGCCCATAACCAAGCCTCGACAAGGGCTGATCAACCATTTGCTGGACTCGTACGGGAACCTGGATGCTGCTGGTTGCAGATCAGACCTGCAGTGATAGTCCCCTCCGCTCACAAGTAGCCTGCATGCATCCTGTATGCGACGTGAATGGCTTGCCAGGATGCAAATTGTAAGCAGCTCACTGAGAGAAACGGAGACCCCAGATTTGCGAGTAAAGGGGCCGGACCTGAGAGCCTGAAGTTCTGCTGTGTTTGAGGAACATGGACTGGATTGAATCTAGTGACAGGGTTCGGATTCGCAGCATTTCGCAGCGAGACAAGCTTGAAATCGGCACATTGCGTGTTGAGGCCTTGGTCCTCCAGACCTTGGTGAGGGAGTCATTGGATCGGTGGTTTCTCAAGACAAAGAGGGACGGGGAAGCCGAGTTGGGTGGTGCCCAGGAGATCTTTCTGACTTCGGTGTGGCCAGTGCTGGCGAGCGCCATCCCAGAGAGTCTGGGCCAAGCTTTCGTGCAGAGTCCGAGGAGGCACCCCTGGCTTCCATGGGGCTAACTTGCTTGGTACAGCTGCGTTGGAAATAAAAACTTGTCGCGCGTGTATATCATTCGTTCCATGCGCTCGTGCCAGCTCTCAGAGCCTCCTCACCCGGCAGGGTTGGGCAGCTCCGGCACAGCTGGAACATCCGCGGCCGCTGCCTAGTACCACTCGAGGACGGGGAGCGGTGCGAGACCGACCAGGACGGCGGGTCTTTTGGAAGCTATTCGTGAATGTTTGCCGCGTGCCCTTTTCTTTAAACAGGGACTGCTTCCAAGCTGCTTAGCTTCCTATCCGTCCTATCGAGATGCAAAGACCGCACCCTGGCAGGTGAGCATTGTATTTCAAGACGTCACGGCAACAGCCATCTTGCCAAAGCCCCTGGCAGAGAAGTATCTTGTGAGCCCCGCGTCTGCACAGAAACTTCACACGGCAATTCTGCAGCGGCTAGTCTAGCAGGGCTGAATCGGATTCGGGCACTGGCCACCCTGCATCAGCTGAGGCCAGAACTGCTCCAAGTCCTGTGAGGCTGCCCCCGTTGTGCTTCAGGACCCCCACGTGCCTGTGCATGTTCCTCTCGTTGGGAGGCGATGCCGCGGCTGCATTCCTACGTTATGTCCTCGGAGGTGGTCCGGACGAAATATTCGGATGAGCTCTCACCACGGTTAACACCCCGCTTAGAACCTGCAGGCCGTTTCCGGCCCAACAATTTGACACTCTCTGTGGGGGCCACCGAAAATTGCAGCAGGTTGCTCAACAAGACATTGGGATCTCGACAGAGACAGAGACAAGCGGTGAAGGACACAGCAGGGCGGATGACATGCAGTCTGCAAGGTCGAGGGCAGTCAAGCTCGTTTGGGGACGGCGCCCTGCCTCACACAACCCAGTCCCTGCATCCAAACTGTGGGTCGTGGTAGTTGGCTAGTTTCTGTTCTGGATGCCTTGCCTCCGTCCCCATATGGTATCGTCCCCTTCCCGCCACAATTGGTTCGGGGGGGATTTGGGAATATCCAGGTGTGTTTGGTCATGGGCGAGGCCATACCACAATATGTATGTATGTATGTATATATGTATGTATGTATGCATGTATGGACAGGAAAGCAAGCTGTGAGTTGTGAGCCGTGATGCCCTGCCAGGCTGAGGCTGACTGTCTGCTCGCTGATGTTTGGGATGTTTCACTTTGTTGCTCGAAGCTGGACTGTATGCTAGCGGAAACTGCTGGCTGCTGAAGGTTGTTTTTGTGCTGTGATCGAAAGGATCCTGGTGGCTGAGGTCGGACTGATCTCAATCGCTCCCTACTGTAAAGTTGGTTCCCCCTACACCTCGCCTGATTCGTCGAGTGCGAGTGCTAAAACATATATATATATATGTGTGTATGTACACACACATCCATCCATGCATCCATCCATCCATCATTCCATTCCATTCCATTACATTTCATTACATTTCATTACATGCATACATACATACATACGTACATACATACATATATACACACGCACAAAGACAGACACGCACGCACACACATGCACACGCACGTGCGCGCACACACACACACATGCACACAATTTATTCATTGAGGTATTTGTGTATTTATTTGTTTATTTGTGCAGGTATATATCTAGAAATATACATACATGTATACACATGCATATGCATATGTACATACATGCGTACGTGCAAAAGTACATAACTACATATCTACATACATACATACATACATACATACAAGCATACATACATACATACAGACAGACATGCATGCATGCATACGTGCATAGATACGTACATACGTACATGCATACTTATTTTCGTACGTACGCACCTATCGGATACGTATAGACACAAAAACTGGACGCTGCTTTTTACGACTCGAAGAAACGCGTCGAGATTGTAGATAGTGTCCATGAACACGAAATCTGTCGATATCCACTGGGTTTTCAGCTTTTTTCTGTAACTACACAGAGACACACATGAGCAATCACATGGTCGAGGTTGGGTCCTTGGGGGGGCTTGCTATAATATCTATCGATATATATATATATATACGTACATACATACATACATGCCTACCTACCTACACACACAAAAAGGTTGCGCCTCGGCGGGGCACTCCGCCTCCCTTTTTTTCCCCCGCCTCCCCTCCCATGCTTCAGCTTATATACAACTACGCAGACATGACGATGTATGGTTTCCC